AATTTATAAATGGCTTCAAAACATAGTTTTTCTACAGAATGAATGACAATCATTTAATTTTACAGCAGAAAAAAAATGTAAGTCTGTGGATATTTGGATTAGGATCTGGAATGTTATAGAATAGCATACCAATCTGATCATTGTACTACATTAACTATTGACGTTCCTAGTTGCTAGCACAGTGTGGATGTGGATTCAATATCTTGGTTCTATTTATTCATGTATATTTATGCTTTCTTTGTCAGTGTCTAGGTTACTGTTACTGTTCTTATCAACACTTTGTCATGACTGCAGAAAGCCAGAAGCACCACAGACCATGGAGTTGGAGAATGGCACAGTGAAGACAGAGTTCATTCTTCTGGCATTCAGTGACCATCCTGAACTGCAGAGTCTTCTTTTTGCAGTGTTCTTTTGCATCTATTCTGTTACGCTGATGGGGAATCTTGGGATGATTCTATTAATCACAATCACGTCCCATTTGCACACCCCAATGTACTTTTTCCTCTGCCTCTTATCCTTCGTAGATGCATGCTATTCTTCTGTAATTGCCCCCAAATTACTTGTGACTTTGGGTTCTGCTAAGAAGGTCATTTCCTATAATGGCTGTGCTGCACAGTTGTATTTTTTCTGCTCTTTGGTTGACATGGAGTCTTTCCTCTTGGCTGCCATGGCTTATGATCGGTATATAGCGATCTGCAACCCTCTGCATTACAGTGTTGTCATGTCCAAGAGGGTTTGTTGCCAGCTGGCATTTGGAGCATTTTTAGGGGGCACCATGAGCTCAATTATTCATACCACTAACACCTTCCATTTGTCTTTCTGTTCAAAAGAGATAAACCATTTCTTTTGTGATATCTCCCCCCTCTTCTCTTTATCCTGCACTGACACTTACATACATGACATTATTTTGGTGGTCTTTGCTAGCTTAGTGGAAGGCATTTGTCTTTTAGCAGTTCTTCTTTCTTACATCTGCATTATAGCAGCTATTCTTAAAACAGGTTCTGCTGAGGGAAGAAGAAAAGGCTTCTCCACTTGTGCTTCTCACCTGACCGTCGTCATTATCTATCATGGTACCCTGATCTGCATTTATTTGCGCCCCAGCTCGGGTCATTCACTGGATACTGACAAAGTGACCTCTGTATTCTATACACTCATTATACCTATGCTGAATCCACTAATTTACAGCCTAAGAAACAGAGATGTCAAAAATGGCTTTAGAAAAATGCTTAACTGGAAACTGCTTCCTTAACACAGGACGGAACATATCTGGCAAGTAAGAATGCCAGTTTTGGACTATTCGTCTTAACTCTTGGAAAAGTCAATTCTAGTGTAGGCATTACCCAGCTTTGTGAATAATGAGGCTGCAGCCACAGAAGAGGACTGGATCCTAACATTACAGTGGGACCTGTACACATTACTTACATCCTTAACTTTTTTTAATTAAAAATTTTATTTTGCTATATTTCATATTTTTCTTCATTCAGGTTCCCACTCAAAACACAATCACCTCCAATGTGTGCCTACCTCAATGATACACAAAAATTTCCTGCTGTGAAAGAAAATAAATACAATTTGTTTAGAAAGCTTATAAACTGATTTAAATGTTAGTGCAAATATATGTACGTTGCAGCTTATCTGAGACCTGCAATAGAAAGTCTTCCTCAGGTGTCAGCACCCACATGTCATTTCATGAATGTCACAGTGACATCAGATGCTAATTCATGTTCTGTATGTCATGGGAACCCTGTGTTTTTCTTTTAGAAGTGTGCCATTATTTTGTACCTTTGCAGTTATGTGAGTCTATATTCTTATTCTCTAAGTCACTAAATGATCCTTATTCATTATATAAATTGCTGCCTCTCTATTGTGCTTCCTAATCCATTTTATTTTGTGGGGGGATTTTGGGAAATAAAGTAAATGTTAGAAAGTATATTTTGAATGTTCCTTAGTTAGGCAGCATGCCTATTTCTCTAGTAGTGTTAATTCCTTCTGCAGAGTGATTCTGTACTCAAAAGCAAATAGTGTTTGATATTTATGATTAAAATAATTTTAAATATTAACTTAAACTCTGGCTCATAAATACTTTAGGAATATATAACATCTTTAAACATTCATATTGTGTATACATATATAAGTAAGGTTCCTGATGCAAACTCTTCTAATAGGATAATAATTAAAGTTTGTGGGTGCTGAGATTATTAATTATCTAGTTGATGGAGCAAGATGCATAGAGTATGTATGGTTAGGATATTTACAGAGTGTCCAAATCAAAGGTGAGGTCAAATAATAAGAGCAAAAACTTGAGTGGAAAGCCATTGTGCTACAAATCTAGACCATCATTTTATTCCCTACAATGAAATTTGTTTTTCCAGTTCAGGATTTGTCTACACAGGTCAGTGGTGAGGGAGTGCAATGATTGATGTAGACGAGAATGTTAATTACTAAGTATATTCTCCTAAGCAAACCTAGGAAATGTTCTGTAAAGTGTATGGGTTCCTTTGCAGCTAAGTGTGCCGTTGCAGCTGTCACCCACGGGATAGAGTCACAAAGGATGGCATACGATGAAGCACCCTGAGATTAATTATTTAGACTCACTTTCTGGAAATGTGTGATCTGGGACTTAGACCACGAGCAAAGTGGCAGCAAAGAGCAATCTGGCTTAAACATGGCAATGGCGTGCTCAGCACCGATAGCTGTGGGGAAATCTGCAATGTTCTGCGTAGGAGTGAAGGTGGAATCAGGCTTTAGATGTCTTGATGGTGATCTTTAGCACATCCTGAGGCCAGGACTTATAACTGAAGTGTCATTAAGTAGGTGACAGGCTCTCTGTAAAGGACAAAAGTGAGAGCCTGAAGTCTGGGCTTCTTTATATGACACAGTGAACAAGGCATCATTTCATCAGAACCAGGAGGTGAATCATCACACTTGGTATGATCTCAGAAACACTGCTGACCATGTTTCTTTACATAAGCAGGATAGAGAGGATACTCATTAAACCTGTCCTATAGAGATGAGAAATCTGAGACTGGACTACGACCCTACAATTCAACAAGTTAACATCAACACAAAGATCCGAATACATGTGTATCTTACGTTAAAGTCCAAATTTATGTTGCAAAGCTTCTCCCATTTTTGATCAGTTTTATAATGGAAAGTAAGAGGGAAAAAATTTGCAACTTGATAGAGTCCTGATAATGTTTAAAAATTATTAAATCACTGCATTTAAATGAATAAAGAAAAATATTCTTTAAGTTTTCCACATACGGATGCTAATGATGATCAGTGAGTGAATTTTATAAAATTGAATGTGTTTAATTTTTATAAATATGAATATATTCAGGATGTTTCACAGAGTTGGAAAGGGATTTGGACAATTATTGAGAGGTCCAGATAAATGATATGTTATATGAACAGCAAATATATTATTTGAGATTATGGAAAAACAATATTTAAAGGAGAGGAGAATACTTGTATTTGTTCCAAACTCTGATTTTTGATAATAAATGACAAATACTTTTTTCATAAACTGTTTCATTTCTTTGATAATATGAATTACCTAATACTCAATACATCTTATCTTTAAATGATACATTGAAAGGTACTTAAAAAGTTTGTTTAAAATGGAGTTGGAAGATGTTTGTTTTGTACAAAAGTTTTTGAAATCCAATGTATATCTTCAAAAAATTAACTAAAACGTGCATTATAAAAATGTGGACCTGAAATTGTTACTTGAAACAAATTTGTATTTTATTCTCAAAGTTTCTGCAAACATTTTGAAGCAGCCTGTAAAATTAAAGAAGTGGATTCAGAAGAAAAACCATTCATAACTCTCCATATTCTTTGTATGAAAACAATGTAAAACACAATGAATGATTTTGAAAATTTGATACTTGGCTATGTATTTCATTATTGAGTTAATTTCTTAGTGCTCACAGTGAAGAAAACGCTTCATATTATTGGGAAATATTAATGTTACTTAAGATCTAACCACTCAGAAATGGTCATTATTAACATTCTTATAGAGTTCCTGTTTATTTTTTCTAATACACAAGAGATAATACAAACCATTATAAAATATCAACACAAATACTATTTTTCCACTGCATTGAATTTATATTAATACATTTTGCTTTGCAACTTAAAATTTGTCATTTGGGCATTTCAGTTGCTTTTTAATTAAACCCTAACCAGCGCTAGCTCCATGAGCTCATTTAAACAAACAGAAGTCTACACAGAATCGGCAGGTTAACGTGCTTTGGCTTCTGTTCGTTTAATTCCTATGAAGTTGTCGATAGCAACATTAAGTCCACCAAGGTGACATCAAGAAGGCAAGTCTACCGTCTGATGTAAGGAAAGGGAGGTTTTCTTTCTGGTTCATTTACAAAGGTTTTGTCACAACAGTTTTGCAGAGGATATTGATTTGTTTAGAGAATGACATGCTGGAACCGCACAGTTTAGAAAATAGAGCAGAAATGATGGTGAGTAAGACATGCAAGGACCTTTCCTCTTCGCAACCTTGAGTCTAAGGTGGAGATTTTCCGTTTACAATTGTTCATTAATTTAGTACTTATTCTAAGTGTAAAAACGGGGCATGTGCCTGCAGGTACTGGTGCACAAGGAGAGTCCTGAAACAGACTGAGTTTGCTGATTTTTAATTTTCTTCTGCCTGAGAAAAAACACCATTTAAATCCGCTTGAATTAACCAAAAAGCAAAGAGTATGCTGACTTAGTAACTCTCTGGGACATGCTTCTAGCCCGAGGAGAGAAGAGCAAAAGCACCTTCTGTGCAAAGCTACACGCGGAGACTTTCTGCTCTTACTAGTTTAGGGAGAAGATCAAACATCTCTGCTGCCTACACTCAACTTATGGATACACAGTCGAAAATACTTGGAAAGCGAAACATGGAAAGTTGTATTGGCAAGATTACAAGGAACTGTGCTAAACTATACCTGAACTTAACTCTCAGGAGAGCTGTGTGATTTCAGGTGGAAAGCCCCATTTCACCCAGAAGACACTATAGTTTGGATTGCTTTTCTGACAGCATCTTTCACATCCTTATTCCTTAAGCTGTAGATCAGTGGGTTTAACATAGGAATGACAACTGTGTAGAAAACAGAGGCCATTTTGTCTGTGTCCATTGAGTAACTTGAGCTGGGTCGGAAATACATGAACAGTAGAGTTCCATGAAACACAGCTACTGCTGCTAAGTGGGAGGCACAGGTAGAGAAGGCTTTGCGCCGGCCCTCAGCTGATTTCATCCGAAGAATGGTAGTGATGATGTAACTATAGGAGAGGAAGACAGTGACGATGCTGAACCCCACAACACAGCCAATGAACGTGAACATCACTATCTCATTAACAGAAGTGTCTGAGTCAGAGAGGGCCAGCAAGGGTGGAATGTCACAGAAAAAGTGATTGATGACGTTTGAATTGCAGAAGGACAGTCGAAATGTGCAGCTTGTGTGGATGGCTGAATCCACCAAGCCTACGGTGATGACAACAGCTACTAGTTGTGTACACAACCTCCCAGACATGGCAATGGTGTAAAGAAGCGGATTGCAGATGGCTACGTAACGATCATAGGCCATGACAGCCAACATGAGACATTCCATGTCCGCAAAGGCCCCGAAAAAATACATTTGAATGGCACAAACATTATATGGAATTCTCTTTTGCTCGGATAAAAAATCAGACAACATCTTAGGAGAGACAGTGGAAGAGTAGCACACATCACAAAAAGACAGATTGCTCAGGAAGTAATACATGGGCGTGTGAAGTCTCGGATCCATCTTGATCAGCAAGATCATCCCTAGATTGGCGATCACAGTGGTGCCATAAACAAGGAGGAACAGAAGAAAAAGCCCCAGCTGCACATCTTGCTTGTCAGAAAGTCCTAGAAATAGAAAGTCTGGAAACAAACTGCAGTTCTGAGCCATCCTCAGCTCCAGAAACCCTCAGCTGTGAAAGATTTCATTGAAGCAGACAATTAATATTATCTTATTATGATAACGTACTGTCGGGTGTTTGTCTACAGATATTACAATAAAGTGAATGAAGCAATACCAGGACTATTTAAAGTGAACTGACTTTACAGATGTGATGTAAATCAAGTAGCTGCCAGTGATGATGCTTCTTACATGTGCATCTTACAAAGGAAATTTGTAGTGTATTTTCTCCAAACCTAGTAAATTATTTCTGTGCAAATCCGCATAGAGGTTATGATGTTTTTGCTGCTTCCACTGAGTAGAGCAACAATTTTATGTCCTCAGGTAAAAGGTAAAAGTTCTTACAATTAGTCCATCCAAATGACTTAGATATTCTGTCAAGATTATATTTACTACTTTTGTAAAAATATTGTAATGCCTTGTGAGAGAACAACAGTTAATGGAGCAACGTGAGTAATGACTACGTCTTATTGTTTTCCCCACGTCATTCAAGATTTGGAACAAAGCCATATCAGAATCTATATATTGATTCTGTCAAGATGCTATTGTTGAAGGTACAAGGAAAACAGAAGCAAAAAAGATGATGTTTGAATAAAATGTAGTCATCCTTGTATGAGTCTTCTGAAGCTTGGCTTAAACTTATATAGACATCTGTCTCTGCAGACAGATTTTTTAAAAGTTAGATTTTTCAAAAATTTTGAGAACACATTAAAATAGTACAGGTAACAGCTTGAAATGACGAATGATGCTTGACTATCTAAACTCTCATGTTATTACTTTATTTTATTTGCTTCTACCTATGCATATATGAATTTGAAATGACAAAGGCTTCTGCTTACGGTGCTGTCATCCCATTCTGGAGTGCCAGTTCGAGTTCTATCTCTTGTACTTCCATTCCAGCTCCCTACTGATGTATTGAGAAGGCAGCAATTGATGGAGCAAGTACTTGGGTGAAAGCTACCTATGTGGGAGATCAGACAGAGTTCCTAGCTTCCGGCATTGGCCCTATACTCAGCCTTGGTATTGGCGTATTATGTGTAAACACACACACAAACACACACACACACACACATTTTCTCTGTCTTTTAGATAAATAATTCTTAAGTTCTAGAAAATTAAAATAATAAATAAACTAATTAAGAAACGCTTTCATGAAATTCCATAATATCTGTTGGTTTATAGAACCCTTTTGATGGAAAAAGGATGAAGAGATGAAATAAGCATACCTAGAAAATTATCAAAACAGCAACAATGGTGTTACCTGACAGACAACCACTACTGTATTTGTTGAATTCAGTTCTGCCTCCTCAAGGTCCAGGAACAACCAGGAACTGACCTTGCTTTTATAACCGTTTCTGGGCTAGGTCCCTGGGGACTGTGCTCTCAGTCCCTCAGGAGTCAGTAAGAGATATAGTAGTTTGTTTTCACATCTGATTTGTCATACAGGTAGGGAATTAAGACTAAATGTAATATTTTAAAAACGAACAAGCCACTCAAGAAATGGGCACGGGAAATGGGCAAACATTTCACAAAGGAACAAGTCCAAATGGCAAACAAACATATGAAAAAATGTTCCAGCTCCCTAGCAATAAGGGAAATCCAAATTAAAACATCGATGAGGTACCACCTAACACCAGCAAGATTGGCCCACATAAACAAGAACACCAACGACGCTTGCTGGCGAGGATGCGGGGAAAAGGGAACCCTACTCCATTGCTGGTGGAGCTGCAAATTGGTACAGCCTTTATGGAAAGCAGTATGGAGAACACTCAAACAACTCAAAATCTGCATACCATATGACCCAGCAATAGCACTCCTAGGAATATATCCAAAACACCTGTTTTACGACAAACCAACATGCATCCCTATGTTCATTGCAGCACAATCAGTAATTGCAAAAACATGGAAGCAACCAAAATGCCCATCAGCAGAAGATTGGATAAGAAAGCTTTGGTTCATCTACTCCATGGAATACTACTCAGCTATTAAAAAAAACAAAATGCAGTTCTTTGTGGCTAAATGGGCACAACTGGAATCTATAATGCTAAGGGAAATGAGTGAATCCCAAAAGGTTAGATACCACATGTTTGCCTTGATTTAACCTGTAATTTTTTGTTTGGTTGTTTGTTATTTTTTGAACCTGTCATTGATACTGTCTCAACCCAGATGTTTTGAAGAATGGAACTTGCATTATTTTTAACATATTGTTTACCCAATACTATGTCAATTAATTCCATAATGTTGTATATTGATACTGAGGCCTTGTTGGGGCTTTTAACTGACCGGATCTTTACTCTGTTAGACCTATCTTCAGACCATAGAAGGTCTCCCCAAGAGGCCACTGAACTTATCTGGACAATAAGACGCTGAACTTTATGCTAGGCATGTGTTTGCAAGCAATGAATCTCAACTGAACTTGAACTATGGTTATGCAACAAGGTGGAGGAATCCACCATGGGGGGAGGGGTATGGGAGGGGTGGGGGGAATCCCCAGCGCCTATAAAACTGTACTACATAATACAATGTAAGCAACAATAAAAAAAAAAATGTTTTTTGTCTTAAATTAGCTAAATCACACATATACATAATCACACATATACATAAGACAGAAATAACTCCAGCCAATAAACATTATTTTCATCAACTCTGCTTCAAATTTTTAAAATTCATTAATTTGTATAAAGTGTACATATTCCAGATATTTCACAGATTGAGATGCCTCAAAATACTTTTTCTATCCTCCCTCCTTTCTGCATCTGGCTCTTTTGGTTCTGTACACCCACCCAGAAACAAACGTGCGTACACACACACACACACACACACACACACACACACACACACACACGTACACACACATGCACACACGTACACACATACGCACACACATGCACACACACGTGTACACACATACACACACATGCACACACACAGACACACGCACACACACACGTGCACACACAGGCACACACACACGTACACACACGCACACACGTACACACACATGCACACACGTACACACATACGCACACACATGCACACACACGTGTACACACATACACACACATGCACACACACAGACACACACACACACGTGCACACACAGGCACACACACGCACACACACGTACACACACATGCACACACACACATGTGCACACATACACACATGCACACACATGCACAGACACAGACACACAATGCATCCCAATTCACTATCTTCAACAGATTTGTTTAAACGACTAGTCTTCCTTTACTACATTCATACAACAATGGTTTTATAAAAAAAAGAACAACTAAATATTAGCCATTCTTTCATTTTTAGATGTAAAAAGATTTTGTTGACAAATTTGTTAGATTTATAGTTTTTAAGCATTCTAAGTTTGAAAAGATATATATATATATTTATATTTGTCCAGGTTTAATGCATTATTTTGTATTTATATTCAGTATTGAGTGTGTCCTACATCATTTTCTTCTTTTCTTATCATAAAATATCTTGTGTAAAATCATGCATGCATAGTTTATCATGTGCAGATTTGTTTAAAATAAATTCTAAAGAATAGAATGAAAGGACAGGAGATTTTACCTTCAATAAAGGAAGTTTTGGTCTTTTAACATTATTAAATTTTATTTATTATCTAATCAGCCATCACAAACTGTTGTAATTTTAAATATAACATATATACTGAGTTTTCCCTGACAGCCCAATCACTTGAAACATATAATGAAACACAATATTGATAACAGAACTATAGTCTCATAAACTTGCACCATGGACTTGACAGAAATCATGCATAACAGCTGAATAAAGTGGAATTGAGTTTTTTTAAAACAGTTCTCTCAATGGTCTCTTAAGATACTGTGGCATATTTATGTTTAAGTGACATTTGAAAATTCACAAAATCAGTGACCTGTAGACACCACTAAGTGCTACAGTCAGAGATGAGCAAACAGAAAGGCTGGGAGATCATTTATTTGTATTTTATCAGCACGTGGGTCTTCCCCGTATTAATCTAATAGCAAGTATCACAGACAGTCATCACATGACTCCACTGTACAAACGTACAGAATCCTGTAAAACTATATACACAGTTTATGGGCACAGATGTTAGCCTGGTGGCTCAATCTCATCTTGCATTCACCTTGATCCCATATGGTTTCCATTCATACCCAGGCACTACACTACCTTTCCAGCCCCTGCCTCTGGCCTGGGAAAGCAGTAGAAAACAGCGCAAACCATTGAGACCCTGCACCCATGTGGGAGACCTCAAACACAAACAAACAAAATCCTGTCCCCTGGCTTCAGATCAGCTTAGTTCTGGCTGTTACAGCTACTTGAGGGAGTTAATCAGCAGATGAAATATATTTCTCTAAGTGACTCCTTCTGTGCTTATTTTCCCCAGGGAAGCCAGGTTTCCTTAGATTGAATTCTATATTGAATGTGAACTCTAACTTTGCACATACTTGCTCCTCCAGTCCTGTAACTATAGCTTCCAACCCCAGTTCATATAGTAACATCTCATTAGGAAGTGATTAGGAAACTGTCAATTATTTCTTACAGATCCCAAACAGGTGGTGCTGGGATAGGTTGGATCTCACAGGCCAAACCCCCAATAGAGTGGAATCAGGAGGCATCTTCTGAGGGAGGCAATGGCTATGGCAAAGGCTTTACGACAGTGAGCTATGTATGCACTATCATCCTGGGAACGCTGCAAAACGGAACTAGAATTATCATTACAGTATCTTTAGTCTCAGCAGTCTCTAGTTGAAGCCCCTGCTGCTGCTCTATCATTATTTACAGTGAACTGCTCATATTCAAAAGGGTGCTGAGTTCCTATCTTAGTGAAAATCCTTTTATCCACACTGTGCTTTAATAACACCCCTTAGGCCCATAGACGCTGCTTAAATCATTCTCCTCATGGCTTTTCATAGTGTTCACAAGTGCTAACGATATACAACTCATAAACAGGTCACATACAGACATAAATTATT